GGCTTAGGGTTCAGGGTTTACGGTGAAGAAGTTATTATCACACGGTATCTCTGTCTCTCTCTCTCTCTCTCTGTCTCTCTCTCTATCTCTCTATCTATCTATCTATCTATCTATCTATCTATCTATCTATCTAAGATCTATCTATCTATCTATCTATCTATCTATCTATCTACATAATTCTACATAGGCACACACGCACATGTATATACGTCTACACGCAGAGCCGAATACATTCATTACATATACACGTGTATACACACATCTACACATGTACGCATATATACAGATACACATAGATACATACATACATCCATACATCCATACATCCATCTATCCATCCATCCATCCATCCATCCATCCAGACATACGTACATACATACATACATACATGCATACATACATACATACATGTAAGCATATAGTTACATATGCACAGATGCATATATATATATATATACACATCTAAATATCTATACATGTACATATGTACACATGCACATATATGGATACAAACACATGCATACACATGCCGCATAGAAGCAATCGACTGCCGCAGAAAGGACTTCACATCTTTGAGACAAGCTCAAAACGGCGAGAGGCCGGACAACTGCTGGTCGCATGAAAACAAGTTTAAAACGTCCTGTATGCCCCGAGGGCCCCAACTCTCTGGATCCAGGAATCTCCCTTAAACCATACTCGCCAACCTAGCTTTGAATAACAATAGTTACAATTGCGACAACAATGATGGCAACCATTAGAATGGACATAGCAAGACTATGATGGTACGGCCCTTTGTAAACAGGCCCAGCGAACGCAGGCCCTGCTTTGAGACATATATAACTACCCAGAAGCAGGCCTAGACGCAGACTCTGTTTCCTGTCCCGGTTCTTTCCGGTCATTCTCCATAATACCCGATACCCCAACCCCCACAAGGCCCGTTGATGCATCTCATCATTCCCAAGCCCTTTTAGGCCTTGAACCCTCAAGCCAACAAGTAGAATTACACATCTTACAGCCGTAGACCTAAAGAACTTAGACCCTTTGCTACTGTTGATGGACAAAATCCTGCATGACCTTATATACCTAAACTATGGGATTTATGGTACTATACTATATTTGGGTCATGAAGGGCCCTCTGGGAGACCCGAAGCTGGCGTATGACATCGGCGCAGTTTCAATTGAAGCGAGCCCTTGTGGCTTCGCAAGGCCAATGCCATCACCCACATCCCTGGGAAGATTTTGCGTGTAGTTTGGTGAAATACGGGACAATAGAAGAGAATGCTTTTGGTTTCCTACTTTCTAGATCCTCACAAGGCTACGGGTACTGTATGCCCCCAGCATTAGAATGCAGAAGCTATGGTAGACCTGATAGGCCTTGTTGCCGCTGCTGACGGATTGGGGACTCTCTCCGCCTGCATTGGATCCACTGACCTAGTTCATGGTTCGGGTAATATTAAAAATGTGAATTTATATTCCTTATTGGGTTTAAGTACCCTTAAAAATGTAAAATGTTACCCAACTATGACAAAGTGACGGTGGTGCCATCATGGCTGGTCGTGGTCTCATCTGAATCATCGGAGACATCGCTGGTGGTCGCGCTGGTTCCATTTCCGCCGGCTGTGCTGCTTGTGGGGTCATCTGAGTCATCTCCAGTGCCATCTTGGCTGGTGGTGATGTCATCCGTGCTGGTGGAAGCATCTGCGTCATCCACATCTAAACTGCTGTCATCATTGATGCTGGAATAGCTTAGGAGAGGATCATAGATGAGCACAGAATCCGATGTGAAGTTGGCACGTGGGATCTCCAGCACCAATGTTGTTGTGCGCTGGGTGGCTCCCTGTGTGCTTGGAGGCGGATCGATTGCAAGCGTCGGGTTTTTGGGCAATGTGAGTTGCGTGATGGTGCCGTCTTGTTGTTGGATCATATAGGTGTTGAGCACGGACAGGAACACACCACCCAGATCCTCAACAGCACCGTTCTCGCAAGAGCCACCTGTGCAGTCAGGGAGACTCCTTGACGAATTTGTCGAGGAGTCGCCTGAGTCGGGGTCGTCGGAGTCGGCCTCCAAGACTACCTGGTTGATCATCTCGATCGTCAAGCGAACAGCAGCACCTACTCCGTTTGAAGATTTGCAATTCTCTGCACACCAGTTCCACTGGCTCATCTTCACGTTGAACTTCACCGTTCCTTCGGCGACCGCAGGATAAATGAATGAACCATCTGGGTTTTGAAACTTCAAGATGGCATTCTCTTTAAAGATGATCGTCTCAATCTCAAGCTTCGAGTCTGTTGCCGGGTCTCCGCTGCCGAGGTAGCTTGTGAAGGACACCGTGGTTACGTTGTACTCTCTTGGGTTGTATCCTCCATTTGGGCTCTCTGGGATGAGACCGCTGGCCGCAGCAACATCCCGCTCCACTCCTGTAATGGTCTTTGCCTCTGGAGTGCCGAATGCAAAGGACTGTGTGGCAAAGCTGTTGAAGGAATGCCTGGCAGATCCGCCACGACCCACGACTGTACCGTCTGCTGCAAGCTCTTCCAGGCCTCCAGGCTTGCCATTTGAATCTGCACCCGATCTTCTGCCGATCCTATGGGTTCTGACGTGGCAAAAGTCATCTTGCCACTTTGGCCCTGAATTTTCATGAAGATGCCGCCACCACTAATGCCCTGATCACCTTGCACCAGCGTCAAAGCTGCAGCAAGGCAGAGTTGCAAGCTTGCAGCCATAGGGCTGCCCATTACTTCCAGCACAGGGACTTCACCCAACACCTTATTTTCGTGTACTACAAGCCTGGGCCAAACTTCTTCACATAGGACGGGATCCAAACAAGCCAATCCTCGTTTGCAAACCTGACATACAGTGTTCACGCTAAAACTTAAACCCTAAGTGAACCTCATCTCCATGACCCTGAACCCTCGTAGCGCTCTGATGTTGTGGTCCCAGCGGCCTCTTCCTCCTCGCCTTCCGACACCTCCTCCTGCTCTTCCTTGCCATTGATTTAGGTCGAGGGTCTGAAGCTAAGCTTGGCGTGTAGGCCACACTGTTGCGCTTAGGGTTTACGCAGCTATCGGGAGAGCAGTTGGGATTTGGAACAGCTTATGTTGGATCTGAACCTGAACCCTAAGTGTTAAAACCTTAAGCACACCCCGAACCTATAATCCCATCAACATGCCTTCATTGAGGGGTCTTCGAATCTGAACACACACCGTTCTCAGTGGAAGCGGTATGTATAAAGTTACCGTATTAACCTTGAACTTTGCATCCATTCACAAAACTCACAATTGCTGCAACAACATGTAACCAAAACTACACTGAAATCTCGAAAGCATAAAACCAAAACTACACTGAAATCTCGAAAGCATAGAACCTCGAGGTCAAAGACCCACAAGACCCCGAGACTAGAGAAAGGAAGTGAAAGGCCTAGGGTTAAGGTTTAGGGTTTAGGGTTTAGGGTTTAGGGTTTGGGTTGAGGGTTTAGGGTTTAGGGTTTAGGGTTTAAGGTTTGGGGTTCAGGGTTTAGGGCAAAACTGGGGAGCGCAAACCTTTCACGGATGGCTGCTTGAGCGTTAGCCATAGCGTCCATTGTAATGCAGGGGCCTTAATAATTAGAATAGGGTTTTCTGGGCCCGATATACTCTAATTATAAAACGGACCCCCAAAATAGTATTGGTAATTATTCTAAATCCCCTATACTAATCAGTTGTACGGCTGCGCGGTCAGCAAATTGATTCAGGCTTCAGGAACCTCCCCTAAACCCCTAAACCCTATCATACCCTAAGCCCTAAACCCTAAACCCTAAACCCTAGCTGCAGCCCCAAGAAAAACAGGGACAAACGCAGAGGGCTCAGGCTCAATATCTGGGTTGGAGGCTTGCCCGACACCAGAATTCTCGCCCTAAGCCTTAGGGTTTAGGGTTTAGGGCGTGCACCCTAATTAAACCCCAAACCCTCATGAAAGCCCTAAAGCCTTTGCCATATCTCTGCCACAATGAGTCCTCAACCTCAGGGCCTGAGCCTCAAGCCCTGAACCCTGAAACCAAGGGTTAGACTTTAGGGTTTAGGTTTAGGGTTTAGGGTTTAGGGTTTAGGGTTTAGGGTTTAGGATTTGGGGTTTAGGGTGACCTCGAAACCCCAAAATCCGAAACGCTTCAACCCGAAAGCCCTATTCTTAGCCCTAGAACCCGAACAAAAACCTACAGAGAATTATAGAAACCCTTATAGTAAAGGAGCCCTAAACGGAACCCTACCCGAATTATTAAGGCCCCTATATTAGACAAGAATTCCCACCTGACTGCCCTCCGCTTTCTTCCGGCTTGTATCGGCCTGGAAAGCTTAAACCGTGGAACAGAAAATGCAGTGAACTGAAGGTCTAACAGTAACTCAACAGGCAACATTGCATGCCCGCAGACGAGGAAAGTTGCGAGTCAACGGTCTAGGGTTTAGGTTTTAGGGCATAATTACAATAGGGTATTGGGGTGTAGTATACTGTAGGTATAATACATCCCGAAATAGCACTATCAATATGTGTTTAGGCTTCTGTAGTTGGCTGGGTTGGCCTTTAACCCTCTGAAAAATATTTATGTAAAGGGCCCCTTATAAACCCAAATAAGGAAATTCAAAAAGTCGCATAATACCAACCTAGTTGGGTTCAGTTTAGGGGCTTCTTTCAAGAACTAAACCCTAAACCCCTAAACCATCAACCCCTAAACACCTAAACCCTAAACCCTGAACAGGCGTTCCCTGCAGTGGTCTGCAGGGGTTGAGGGATGCAGGCTCCGGGAGTTCAGGGTTGCAGGCTTTAGGCTTTGGGGGATTGTGGCTTAGGGTTTATCGGGTTATAGGGTTATAGGGTTTAGCGGGATTGTCAGGCCTTTCTTATGGAAATCCTGTTCCTCGTTTACTGATGCTAGCTACAAAAACTGCTAACGAAATAAGGCAGTGCGTTGGAGGGTAGGTTGGAGCGATAGGGCGGATAGGAGTGTTTTACCTCAAGGGTTCAGGGACGCAGGCCCCTCAACCCTAGTGACCTGTTGATGGACAAAATCCTGCATGACCCAAGGAATATACCATAATTCCCATAGTTTCAGGTCCTTAAGGTCATGCAGGATTTTGTCCATCAACAGTAGTGCTTGAAACAGAAGTAATCCTAAACCCTAAACCCTAAACCCTAAACCCTAAGCCCTAAACCCTAAACCCAAAGTCCTAAGTAGATTTTTCGAACTCAGCGGCTGGGTGCTTCTGTGTTCGGTCTGATGAGCTTCGAACTGGCAGGCTAGCTGTGTGTCTTGGGCTCAGAGTTGGGGCTTATTTCAGGAGTTTTCCTCTATTTTTAGGGTTTAGGGTTTAAGTTTAGAGATTCCGGTTTCAGGGCTGCACCGCAGCAGCCAAAACAAAGAAAGCCCGATCCCAGACCAATAGATGGATAGATAAACAGATAAACACACACAAAAAAGAAAAACATAGATAAATAGAGAGAGGTAGACATGTACAGGAAATCCCCTGGGCTCCACACGGCTTCTGTATTGTCACGGTTAGCCAACTTGGTGCCTAGGAGCCCAAACTAAGAAAAAAAACAACCAATGGGTGAACTACCATGGCGACTATAGGTAATGTAGGGGCCTTAAAACTTAGAATGGGGTTTTTCGGGGCTCCTTATCATAATTCTAGTATGACATAGCCCCAAGCCCTCTTCTAATTATTAAGGCCCCTATAGGTAAACCCGAAAAGGAGGCGACTATACCCTAAACCCTAAACCCTAAACCGTGACTATAGGTAAACCCGAAAAGGAAGTCGTAGAATGCGCTTCCTTCTCAGCCTCCTCGGCCTGCGGCCTCCGGTTTTGAAGACCCTTCCTGTAATATAGAGGCCTTAATAATTAGAATAGGGTTGGGGGGAATATTCTACTATAAATATCATATGGAGCCCCCAAACAGTCGGTAATTATTAAGGCCTCTATATCAATTGGGCTTCTTACGCCCACGCCTGAATTGGACAAAAATCAGCTCCCCTAAGCTCTAAAGCTTAAACCCTGAACCCCTAACCCTTATCCGCCTTAACCCTAAACTAAAGCTTAAACGTTAAAGCCTTAAAGCTTAAATCCTAAACCCCTAACCCCCAAACCCCTAAACTGTAAACGCAAAGTCCCCTTATCTGAGGAGCCGTCTGCGCAGCCGTTCGATCCTCCGACATCATCCAAAAGACTAAGATTGCTCAGGGCTTTTACGGTTTAGGGTAAGCTCCCTTTTATAGGAATCGTGGTCAAAACGGCACTCATTTCAAATCTCCAAAGCTTCAGAGTCTAAAGCAGATCGGGATAGGTTCCGGACTTGGGGGGAGGGAACACAAGTTTCATAACAGAAAGAAGGCTCCAACACGCACAACAAAAACAAGCTTCAAACCTGGCCCTACCCCATCCTCCGCTCTTCGAAATGGCTACAGAGTCTCGAAAACCCTAAACCCTAAACCCTGAACCCTAAACCCTAAACCCCTAAACCCTAAACCCTAAACCCTAAAGATAGAGTCCTTGAGGCAAAGATCTGGCACTGCGAGACCGGCTCCTCCGCCTGAAGTCGCGGGTTTTATGCGCGACGGTTCTCCATCAAAGGGCCTCTACTTGGAGGTTCATGGGTAGTTATAAGTGGAGTTATAAGTCTCCTAATATAGGTTATAACTATAGTTACCCTACTTATAAGTCCACTTATAACTACCCATGAACCTCCAAGTAGAAGTTAGAGAAGGGCCTCGCAGTATCTTTTACTATAAATATAATAACAAGGAACCTTAAGGCCTTCAGGAATAGTATTTTTTCCGGCACTTTCGCTCTTTTTAGGCCCTATCTTCGTGTACTATTATTAGATATGACAAGGATTTTTTTAGGAATTGCCTTCTAAGTATTAGGGACTTTATCTTCGGGATGGGCTGCTTGGGGGGTGTCGGGCAAAACGACTTGTGGGGATCAGAGACCTGACAGCTTTACTAAGGGTTCCGGGGATGTAGGGTTGAGGGGTGACGGGTTCTGGGAATTTGGGGCTGTAGAGGTTCAACAAAGGCTCTGGGAGTTTGAGGCATTGGAGTAATTAGAGCCCCTGCATTAAGCCCGAACCGCCCACCCTAAACCCTAAACCCTCAACTAACCCTGAACCTTAAACCCTATAAAGCCTAAACCCT